GGGATGCCAACTGACCATCTCCCTCACACACTGTGATTGACAATTTATAACTGAAGTTTATCGGGGCAGATCTGGTTGTTACATTAAAGCCCAATCCATCAATCCATCAATCCATCTTTAAGAACCATGGATTACAGTTGGCCTGTGGGCTGTGACATCCAAATTTCTTGGGCTTGGGGGATGGTTATATGGGTTTGGCTTTACCATAAAGCCGGTTTCTGTACCTGCACTCTAGTCTTTGCATGCATTTATTTATCATTTTCATTTTCTTTTTGGCAAAATAAGAGGAAGATATGTTAACTATAAACAAAATAGCACAATGATTCTTCCTCAACACATGTCATAGACTTTTGATTACAACATTCCATCCAAGCTAAACCATGAGCCAATATATTCCGGTTCCTATTTACATTCAAAAACTGTACACCATTCCATGTACTATTGATGTAGGCGCATATGGAAGGGCCAGGATGGTGCCATGTGGCATTTGCCGGATGAAATTCTGGCCGTCCGCTGCTAATAACCTTCAATCAATTCCCAAGCGAGTTCAAGTATAAATAAGTGTCACTCCCTAGATAGGTTATCTTGGCTCTTTCCTACTCTCAAGTATAAATAAGTGTCATTTAAGTAACTTGACTATCGCAGTTTCCGCCCCTAGAATAACACCCAGGGCCTCTGATGTACTCTCTGATCTTTAGGTCGAACATTGCAGCCCTCGGATGAATTAGCCCTTAGCTAAGGAAGTGAAGTTACATTGTTGCCCTCGGCCCATCCTTGGCAGCAACAACTATAACTAATGCTTCAATTTCCCAAATAAAAGAATATATGATCCCTCCCATAGAGACTCTTAGATAGGGGTGTCCATGAAAAACTGAAAAATCGAACCAAACTGCAAAATGCAGTTAACCGAACTGGTCGGTTCGGTTTCGATTTGGAATTTTTGAAAAACCGAAGGACCGGTTCAGTTTTCGGTTAACCTATAAAAAAACCGACGGTTAACCAAACCGACCGGTATATATATTTATATGTATATTTTATATATCTTTAATATATGTCACATATTTTCTATATATTTTATATAAATATATACTTATATTATATTTATAATGATCTATTTATAAATATATTATATATTTTTAAAATATTTATAATATATTATATATCATTTATTATTTATAATATAATATTATACATATATTTATATAATATATATTATAAATATAAAAAACCAAAAAATCAAACCGGTCAAAAACCAGAACCAGCAGACTGATTAACTGATGAAACCAATTCAGTTTCGGTTTGGCGAAATAAAAAAACCAATACCACTGATTCGATTTACAAAAAGGGGCCATGGTTCGATTAACCAAACCGTGGACACCCCTCCTCTTTAGAGATCCTGCGCATCAGCGAAAATAACAGCAGCCTTCAAATTGCCTACGTCCCTGCTGGATTTAATCGCCTCTATCATCACAACTGGTGGTAGCAAAACATCCATCTGATGCTGCAACAATGACCCTGTCATTATGATTTAATAACACAAAACCGAATGCTGTTTTGTTCTTTGCTTCACTAAATGATCTATTAGTATATATTTTATATATTGAGGAATTTTATATGTATGTATATCAATATAATATACAAGAATGAGAGGTACAAGGGCCCTTGTATACAAAAATGGCCCATAACTCAATAGCCCAAGTTTTTGAGTTGTATATATGGTGTCCCTCTCTTGTATTTAAGTCAGTGTATACGTATATGATGACTCCCCTCAATGCATAATAAGAGTTGACTCAATTCCTTCTATCCCTCCCCGGGGCTAGCTCTTGTTGTTCAACAAGCTTCCACATTTTTAGCATATTTCTCCCACCTTATTAAACTAACAAACGAGTCCATGCGGTGAATGGGGTGAATAGATATGTGTTAAGAGATTTTTTTTTTTTTGAAGCCCATAGGCTCGAAATTAACAGACAACTTCAAGTTACAGATCACCCCTAGAAGATTTTTAATGAAAGATGGGGGAGGACCAAGAAATTGTTGGAATACAAGAGAGGGCAAATCTAGCTAGAAGGTGAGCAACCTTATTACAATTTCTTGGACTGTAGCTAAAAACACTGTTATTTAGCTAATGAGAAAGCCTCTTGCATTTTGCAATCACAATAAGTCTGAGTCGCCAAGGTGGGTCGTCACTGTTCTCCACCAACAAGAGGTCGATGATAGGTTTAGAATCACTTTCAATAACTGTGATTGACAGGTTTAGAGAGAGGGCTATTCTTAAACCTTCCAAGAGAGCATAGGCTTCCGCTACCTGTGCTGGGCAATGGTCTAAAGGAACTGCTCTGGCGAAGATACAGGCACCCCGATCACCTCTAATGACAATTCCTGCTCCAGAACGTGAATGGGAAACTGCGCCATCAACGTTAATTTTGACTGACCCCGACGGCGGTTTTTGCCATCTGCTCAAATCCCTTCCATGATTAGGTGCGCCGTGGGGAGGTTGATGGGTTCTTTGTGTTTTGCAGGCCATTTCCCTGTTTCGGTGAGCATCAGCTATGGTGGATCGAGGGTCAAAGGACTTGTGCTCAAAGATAAGTTCATTCCTTGCTTTCCAAATCTGCTAAAGAATTGTAAGAGCAAGGCTGTAGGATGGGTGGTGCCCATTAAAATAGAACATTTAACAAAAAAATCATTAAACATAAAATCAACGGTTGTTTTGTAGTGTTTAGGCAATTATGATATATAAGAAGAAAAATAAGTGATATATATCTAATATTTTATTATAATAAAATCAAAGAAAAGGAAAAAGCATCACTTTTCCTAGATAGGTCAACTTTAGTTTTATAATTTATAAACACAGTGGTATCCAATTTACTATCGAGCCAGAGTAAAAGACAAAAATTGAAAAAGATGAGTGAGAAAACTTCTATACTTGAACAACCCACTTAAGCTTAATCAAATTCATTCGAGCCCATCACAACGTTCTAACAGCTTTTTGTAATCTTGTATTGGGAATATCTTTCCATGAAATAAAACACAAAAATACGGAGATATTCTCAATATAAGGCAGTAACAACTGTTCAAATGGGCAAAAAACTGAAGCTGAATTCTAGATTAGGTAGTTTTCGATTGGCAAAATTCGGCTTTAACCTTGTATTAGTACAAGCCGGAGGTCCTTGTCTTATAGGGTTGGGTCTTAACGTGACCTAACCCATCATATTTATTCCTCTTCTTTACTACATAGAGTTAATGGGAATTTAAAAAAATTTGAGAGAGAAAGAAGGATTTATCGAGGGAAGGGAGAGATTACTAACATTGACAAGTTGGGAGAGTTAAAAAACACTTCACATTGTCACCCCACAGCACCTCACAGCAATCCCAACCGAACATCTTCTAATGATAAATATCATACAAAATATTCTCAATGCACGCTGAGATGTGCATGTGGGGTGCATTGATATGGTCTAGTTGAAAAGAAGGATTCTACTTACCAAAAAAAAAAAGTTAGGATGGATTTTATTAGACAGAATTACATAAAAAAATAAGATTCGAAAGGTTTTTCATTTAAATAAATAAATCACACAATTGAGATATATTTCTCACAGAGCACTCCTCAGCCTCACACATTCCACTGTGTATTAAAAACATCTATCTATGAATTATAAATACAAATGCAAGGGATATTCCCAATGTACGACCAAAATATGCTGTTAGTCGGTGTGAGGAGCAGTTCCGGACTCTAAATCACATGTATGAAAAAGGAGATGGAAGATAGGTGTGAGCACTGACGTGATGGGGAACTAGGGAACCCCTCATCAGCTCATGTATCTACTTTGCTTCCTCTGTATAGTATAGGAATTTAAAGGGCTGATGTTACTATGTTTTAATGGGATGCGTCAGACTAAGGGAAGGACATTAACCAATAAGGAAGCGGAGTTGTTTTTCAGTCACATTCCAACAAACACCATGGCCGGCCATGTTTGATGTCATCAACAGAAGGGATGTGCTCCTCATGGTGAACGGGGGGGTATTAACTTTGTTCCTATTTCAGAAGAAATCCCCTCGCTTTTGGAAACCACTGAGATTTTGGATGTCTATTGTTTGGGCTTTGGTCTTTGGGATTAAACAAATTAGAGTCAGTCTCGATTACCAAAAATAGAGTCTAAAAAAAAAAGTAAAGTAGCGTCTGTCGATACACATTTTATATATTTCAATTAGCATAAAATATAGAGACAAATTATAAAAAATAAATATTAATAAAGAAAATAAGGGAACGAACTCTCATTGATTTTTCGTATTTCTTGAAGTGTTGATATAGATTTTCTTGATTTTGGCGCTTTGAGAGATTTGGTGTAAATTTCTTCACTTCATGCTTCGCGCTTGATCGGCTGTGAAGGATGCTTCTTTAAGAATGACCTTTTTTGTGGTGGTTTGATCTTCTTTGAAGAGCTTGAATCCAAGTGTTGTAGAGAACGAAGAAGCTTTTCTCTTCTTTCTTCTTTCTTGATCGTGTAGAGGTTGCAAGAACTTGTGGTTACTTGCAATTTTTTGCAGTGTGATTCTCTCAAAAATAATAAAAAATGAGGTTTTCTTTCTTCCTAGGCAAAGCTATTTATAGTCAAGGGTTAAGGCTTCCATCTCAGCCCACTTAACCAACCAATCCTATGAGAGTGGAATATTGGATTAGCATTAACTCCTATATATGCACCATTATGTAGAAATTAGTGGTATGAAACTACTTTATTACCATAAAAAATTGGCTAAATTAGACTTAATACACTTGAATCCTAAGACCACCAAGATATATTTATCTAAAATTGGACCTTGGGCCCATAAAGACCCATAATATTTAGAGACTATCATATAAATTCAACCCATTTGTTTGGCTTAAAAATTCACATGTCTACAGCTTCTCTTTTATCTTAAGTCGGTGTAACCCACGCTGGTTTTTCTCCTCATTCTTTATAAATAGAAGTAGGAGGGAATAAACCCGTAAAGCCCCGTCCGTCTGCTTATCTTTCTCTTCTGTTGTTTTCCCTTTTTGAGAATCTCGGAGTCCTCTTTTATCCCAAAGTGTTGGAAACTTTAACTTAGAACAATGATCTTCGAAATCGTATACCCAGAACTCATTTCCACTCGAAAGCTCAAAGTCGATGGGTCCAATTTTGACAGCTGGAAGAACAAGATCGAGTTAGTCCTTTCCGACTTGAAAGTCGACTACGTCCTCACCGATCCCAAGCCCACCGATCCCACCGACGATTCTTCCGAGGAGCATCGGGAATTGCACAGAAAATGGCTCTCCGACGACTCAACCTGCCGTCACCTCATGCTCGGGGCCATGGACGATAAGATGTTCGGCTTCTCCAATGGCTACAAGACCACCGAAGCCATGATGGACGCCCTCACCAAGCTATTCGACACTAACTCGTTGCCTCACCGCATGTCCCTGTTGAGGAAATATACCCAGCATAAGATGTCGGAGGAAACTAACATCAACGATCACTTGATCGAGATGGGTTCTATGGTCGTCGAACTTGAGAGGGCCGGTTTGCCGGTTCCGGAGGCCATGCAAGTCGCTATTTTGATGAACAGCTTGCCAGAGTCGTGGCAATCCGTGATGGGTTTGATCATGCTCATGAAACCCGATGAATGGTCTTTAAACAGTGTGAGTAGACATCTTGGAGTTGCAGGGGATTTGATGGCCTGGAAATCCCGTAATGGTGGGGAAGATGAAACCTCCAACAAAAAACAGAGAAAGGAGGGCGGTTTCAAGGGCAACTGTTTCTCGTGTGGAAAGCGTGGACATTGTCAGTCAGATTGTCCCAATAAGGTATTAATGTATTACACCCCCCTTCTTAACAGTCTTTTCGTTGCATTGCACCATTACAGCAATTTCTGATTTTTTTTTCTCCTGTGTTCTTGTTTAGGACTGATGAAGGAAGTAGCAGAGGAAATCAGGGTTACCAAATATTTCACAAATGAGATCTGAAAGGTGATGGATTTTATGGTCTCGTGTAGATGTTTGTACTTTCTGTTATTTGGTTTAAATAAACCATACATAACATTAAGATAGTTGTAAGAATGGTTCACTGATTGATGTTAAGGATTTGATTTCTGTTGGAATTTAGAATAGGCAAGTATTAAAGAAAATGACAAGTACTTTAGTGGACTACTCTATGATTTTAATAAATTTAGATAATTTGTCCTAATTCATGTATCATGGGTATGGAACCATTTCTTGGTGCATGCGTGCAGTTTATCCAAGGCTCTCTTAGAAAAGCTTTTAAGCTTTTGATACCTGAAGCACAACAGTAAAATAACACAATTAATTTTATGAAAAAACTTGTTTTTGCTTAGTAAGAAAAGGAATAAGAAAAACCTTGATGAATAATGCCTTGTATCAAAAGATAAGGAAACGAGAAAACAAAAGGAGAGTTCTGTGGAGCCCCTAACCGAAAAGGTAGGCATCTCATGCGAAGCCCACTATGTCCACTTCGAAGTTCGAACACAAGTTATTGGCATTGGGGTCGAGGAACAGAGCCCCTTGTCAAAATTAAGGGTATGCAGAATTCGACCATACAGGGATATTTTCAGTATTTATGTTTACTTTCAATGGTAAACAAGAAACCTAATTGGATGATCCCTGTATATACTAGCTTGTTCTCTAGGATTGTATAATTGTCAAACTGTAAAAGGTGAATTTTGTAGGGATCTTCCATGGATGTAATCTGTAGGTACAAAATGCTGAACCAGATGAATATTCTTGTGTATGTCATTCTCTGTTCGCATTCTCTTTTTTCATTCCTTTAGATTTCTCTTCACAATATAGGCTTTGATGGAAAGAAGTGGTCAATCAGTAGCTAGACTGCAAAACATAGGTTGCAATTCTTCTAGAACGACATATAACTGGAGTATCACCATCTTACATTTAATTTTACATTTTCTTCAATTAAACAATTCGAAAACTGCATTGGTTGTCAAACCAATGTGAGTTCTAACAAAAATTATAGCGTGTTTCTTGCTCCACTTTATCCTTCTACCACTACTTCTTGATCACTTTGATAATAATAAAGAGAAAAGAAAAAACTCTAACAACTTGATAAAGAACCGAGCTGTTCTGCAATGAGAAGGGATGATCAAATATCATTTGGAGAATAAGCTTGTGCTATGATTGCCTTGAGAAGCTTGTTCATGTCCCCTACCTCACCCTCGATCCCTGTTTCGGGTAGCTATCTTGGACCAAGGCAAGAGGGTAGAATGGTAGCTAGAAAATAAGGCTATGTTTGGTTTAAAGGAAAGGTAGGGAAATCAATAAAGGTTTGTAAAGGTTTCCCTACCTTTTCTTTCAAACCAAAGGCAATGTAAGAGAATTTGGCAAGAGAGTATGCTGGACAGTTCTGTAAACTGGGTTTCAAGTGAAAATCATACCTCCTCTACTCATTCGTTCATCCCTATTTAAAAGATACGTACAACTTAATTACAACCATTTACCACAGACTCCAAGATTCAGTCAACAATTTACAAACTAAAAAGCAACCACGTAACTCATTATTCTTCAAATGACTGCTAACCATTATCATGCAATGCTCCACGTTACCCCCCTTCTCGTCCCTTGATCTCCACATGTACACGGAATCATGATAGAAGTTCTAAGTTCAACCAAAATATGTGATACTTGAGGCAATTTCAATTGTTCTCTTTCTAAGGGATTGTGTCTATTACAAAGAAAGAAAGATGCAGAACTATAAGGGTAGACTTAGCAATGACTCACCTTGCAACTCTTCAATCTGCAAGCATAACTTTTTTAGGTATATGTTTTGGCATCGATGCTACAGTTGCAACATCAAATTTGGCATTACTCTAAGCCACATCATTTTCTATGAAAAAACGGTTCTAAATAAATGGCTGTTTTCTGCAACACCGTTTTTTTCCCTATATGACGCTGATGTGGCACCATTTTCTAAAGCAACAGCAACGATTCCAAACAGATGCTAGATTTGCACAATAAAATTATTGTCAATGTGTGCATGCATGCGTTTTCAGGTTTTGCCTACTTGTAGTAGCTTTTCTTGTTCTAAAGGGACCAAGGAATGACTTGTGCATTGCAATTTTGGGTCCTGCTAGTTGAAGAAACTCAAGAAGGGAGTGCAGACCTTAAAAACATGGTATTGGGTGCTGATTGTTCTTAAGTTTAGGTTTTAATTTCTTATGATTCTTCTCTTAATTTAATGTCCTTTGTTATATTGGTTTGAGAATAGAGGGTGGTAGAAGAAGCGAGGGAAAATAACAGGGTTTGTTAAATTGGTCAAGATTTTTTGATCCCCTTTTCTCCGAGGTTCAGTGATGAAACATTGGAATAGCATGAAAAGTGATTGTCTAATCATTTATTTTAACTTTTTAAGATGTGTACCCCAGGACAGTAGCTTTAATGGAATATGCAGAGATTCTTCTCTCTCACTTCTATATTCTGCAGAGCAATAATATAACTTTGACTGGGAGGTTGGGTCAAAAATGTAATGAGAGATGGATGTTGAAGAGAAGCAACAACTAGGGAGAGAAAAAGGAGGGGAAATGTATCGAGGATAACAAGGAGAGAGACTCTTCAACCGAACAACAAGGAAACGATAGAGGCGTTATATCCTTATCTATTGTATCATATTTAAATTGTATTTATCCTTTAATAGTACTACATATTTATCTCTTAGTGTCAACATCTATAAATACATGATCTCCACTCTCTCATCTAATTGTGCGAGAATCCTAAACTTGTTTGTTCGTTTAATAAGCAGTTCTACAGTTGTGTATATAAGACGAAAGGGATATATTTACAAGACAAAGAATACATTTGGAGCATCAAATCAAATTAGTGAATGGATCAAAAAACTAGTTTTGCAATAATGTTCCCCTGCATTGTTTCTTTAGTTATATAGAAATTTAAATTTCATCTAGCGAGAAATCTAGATTCTTTTTCTTTTTTGTTGTGTTTTACATGTCAGCAAAGGTAGACGTTGAACTCCAATACCCTCATACTTTAAGTGATGTCGTATTATATATTATGTTTGATACTTGGATTTTTAATGTTTTGTATCTGACACCTTGTTCAGTCATGTTTCATGCCATATCAACATAACATAGGGCGGAAGAAACTTTTTTTTTCTTTTTAATTTTCGAGATCATATTTGCGCCCGACAAATGCCCCACATTGAGAATATCTCCTAAAGTTGTTAGTGGGAGATGTTCCTAATACATGATTGGGATATACTGTCAGGCATTTGTAGGTTTCCTCTGGGTGCAGATGTGAATTCTCAATGTTCACCATCATTCTCTTGCCACGTAGCCAAAATAAACCCTTTAGGCAGTGGTTGGAAAATCAAAACTTAGAAAGTTCAATAAACACAAGTAATAGGGTTGGAAACTTAGAATTGCCATATATATGTCTAAATCCGAATTCATATCCAATCTAGTTAAAAGTAAATCCAAAATCCCTGATCCTTTTATAATTGGATTAAATGTAGATCCATTAGAATCCGATCCAATAATGTTCAACGAACTTTCACGGGATTAGATCTATAGCAGAAGACACCCATGTGGCGTTTTGGCCAAGGGAGACCAGGACAAGCCTGATGTGCGCATAGCGTTAGGAGTTGTCCGATGTGATGGTTCCACCAAGTTTAGTAGCACTGGATCATGACTTCAGTTCGCATGGTCGGGGCTCTCTACTGGCTCTGGCTGGTCCATGGGAGGCGCCTCTTACGTGCTAAAGGGGGACGACCATTATGAGAGGCGACTAGGCGCCGATGAGAGGGACTCCTGTATGCCGATGATGTAGGCACCTGATGTGCCAATGGTGATAGGCAACCGCTGGGCCGGAACACACCCGTGCGCTAGGGGCAACAAGATAGCTCAATCAACTTGGGCAAGGGGCTAGAGAGGTGTAAGGGCATGCTTAAGCCAGACCCGCATGCAGAGCCTCCCTTCAATGAGTGGAGGCGCAGTGCCAGTCCATGCACTGTCCCCATGAGAATGTGTGCGCCCATGAGGAACCCTGGTAGCCATGTTAGTCATTAATCAAGGTCGCCCTACAAGGGATATTGGTCTAAGAGTGCTAAGGTTAGACACCCAAGGAGGTCGACCACCCCTCCTCAAAGAGTACGTTAAGCTTTTGGTAGTTTGCCTAAAGATAACATTAATTCTCCCAAAAATCTAATAGGCAAAAATGACGATAATGTCCCTTAACGTAAGCCCACTAAGCATAAACAAGGTTAAGCCTGTATCAAACCATAACAAAACAAACTTTGTAACTGTCTTCCTAGGTTGGCCTGGCATCAAGTGCCTTCATGAAAAAAATTTATATTTTTTTTCCTAAATCCGAATTCATATCCTATCCAGTTAAAAGTAAATCCAAAATCCCTGATCAACTGGATTAAATGTAGATCCATTAGAATCCGATCCAAAAATGTCCAACAGACGGACTTTGTAACTGCCTTCCTAGATTGGCCTGGCATCAAGTGCCCTCATCGAAAAAAAGTTGATACTGTGTGGCCTAGTCGTTAACTAAACATTAAATGGGATGAAATGCGGAACCAAGCTTGTAACAATCGGTCAAGTGGGAATCGTTCTGGGTCCGTTTTCCATGTCGAATGGTTCGATCATCTGGTCCGAATGAATGGCCCATTTTGACAAAAATTAAAAAATAGAAAAAACAAAAATGATCAAAAAACATTGTTTGCGTTGATGATTCAACCACCTGGATCAGCGGACTACTGACTAATAAATTAATGGTTTTTGGCCAGAAGATGGTTTTGGGGTGAAATGGAACTGATCAGGTGACTGATTCCTGATTTTTCGGCCTGACCGTCCAGTCCAATTTGGTTTTGAAAAAGTTGGTATTAAGTCTTCAGGGTGAAATCTCCATTGTACCCTTTACCCTCTGAGGTTTGTTAATTAAAGGAGGAGGTTGCCCTGAGGTTGGCAGTGTTTGGTTGGGCAATGTTGACTATATCAGTATATCACACGGGAATTTATTCGGGAAAGTGTTGAGCGGAAAATACTTAGACAATTAGACAAACAACTTTCCGAAATCGAGCAGGGCCTTAAAAGTCATTTTATTCATGATATACATTATAGAACTCCATTTTCAATTCATTTTTTTAAGTGGTTTTAGTTTATCTTATAAAATATTATTCAACATGCAATACCAATCTGAAGTTCCAATAAAATTCCACTTTGTCTGAAAATTAGTAGATCAAATTTGGATCTAGATAATGTTCAATTTGGTCCAATTCATTTACACCTCTAAGCTAAGAGCATGTTCTGTATATTCAACTTGGTCCAATCCAAAGTATCTTATTGTTTTTTTTTTTTCTCTTCTTTTTTTTTTTTAAGAATGAACCGAACAGGTCTATCTTCCATTCAAGCACATCTGAAATGTCCACGGAGAAGTTATAATACCTGTTTTAGAATATTTTTTATTTTATCAGAAGTCAAAATTTCATAAAATTATCATATAGAAAAATCCTAAGTAGTTAAAACAATCGTAGAAAACCAATCTGGTCTAGCTAAAAAGTTGACAATATGCTGCTGAATAATGCTAAGAATATGTTATCCTGTCTGTGCTCATCATACTAATAACATTATTCTTAATAAGCTTTCTTTTGGTTGCAATTTGGGAAAAAAAATCGGAAAATGGGATTAATTATTGGCCTAACTACTAGATTCTAGGATTGCATGGAGGAGAAAAACTTCCATGGAATCATAAGGCCTATTTGATATGAGATTGATTTAAGGTGGCAGGTTTGCTTTTTATTGATATTTTTGTAAATCATCTATTTTTTGGCTTTATTTATTTATTTTTTATATGTATGGCTTCCTTGTCGGTCAAAATCACTTTCTTTGAGAACTAATTTTTCTGTCACTGTGCTGATATTCTCTTTAGAACAAAGTTACTGTACAAGGGTATATTCCTTTTTACTCACGAAGGCTATCACACTAATTCTATATACCTTATTGGCTGTGTGGAATTGCTGTACCTAAAAAATTGGCTATCTTCTTGCTCCATTTACTTCATTGTATATAAATACATACATACATACCACAATCCTTGGTGGTATTCTATTATCAGGATTAAGAAATTGAAAAATACTTTGTTCCAGCTGGAAACGTACTTTAATTAGGATTACGCATTCTGAAATCGAGGCTATTCATGTATTCAGTCAACTCATTTAAAATTGGAACTTTGGACCTATAATGTGTAGCAGGCTGCGTAGCAATTTGTCTTTGGCCCACAAAACAAAAAGGATGTAATCTATATTCTATAACGCTTTTGTTGCGCTTTGGTTATATGTTTATGGTGGATATATCAGCACAATTGCACAAACATGAATTTGAATGTTTATGCTTATCCTGCGGCTCTTGTGAATTGTGAATTGTGAAATCACCGTCGCTACAAAGTTAAATAGATAAGAAAATTGAGATCCCACGCATATCGAACACGATCTAGCCCTCGAGGCTCAAGATAGGCACCAAGTACCAACCAACCAAGGCAAAGAAACACAAATTTATGAATGGGATACGCCTGGATTGGCGATTGGCAATTTGGCATGGATGGTGCCAAGAAATCCTCAACGTATCTTCCCACATGGAGATGGGCATGGGCGAGGGAGAAAGGCAGCAATGGAGTGGACGGTGCATCATTCATATGCATGTCCCCTTTGTTTATGTCACTCTACTCTATTCGCTGTCAACACCTGCTGCTAGGCTAGCTAATTAATATTCCCCATCCCATCCATATTCCTTTCAAGTACAGTACAGGTACTTGCACTTAGTACCCCTATTCCAAAAGGGAAATCCCCTTCAGCCCTCCCTCGACTGCTTATCTTGTCAATTACACGCTGCTTTACTGGCTGTCCTGTCGAGGTTGAGGTTGAGGTTGAGGTTGTTCAATCTTGGGATGGGAGAGAGTATCAGTATTGGGACGGGACGACTTTTATTTCTTTATTTATTTATTGAGTCTTGTTTGTGGACAGTGGACTGGACTGCTCGCATCGCATGATGTCTTCCATTTTATAAATTGCCCACATCCCCCCATCATTCTCAAGAAAAAAATATCGAATTACAGGTGGTGGCCCCCATCCAATTTACAATTACGGTCAAGTCCTGGAGGCTGCTGGCTCTGGCTGGACTCTGGACCAGAAACAAACCAGAACACCAGAGCATATATATATATAGACTTACTTGGAAGGCATGCATGAGTCATGCTGCATGGAGCTATTTTCCTTGTAAGAAACAGCTTCCCGTCCTCTCATTAATGTCTTCAATTCAATGCCTGCTCCCTGCTCTGTGTCTACCTATTTACATTTTGCTTTGGTTGGGTCCTCTGACCTCTCAACTCTCAAATCTCAATGAATATGTACAGAACGTGGTGGGTCATTCATCATTGTGACTCGTGAGAGAGAGAGAGAGAAACAGAGGCTGAGACTCATTTGTCATTACTCATCAGATTAGACTTTAAGACAGAGAGATAGCATGTAATGGATGATTGAATTCCATCCGTCTTATGTACAACATTCTAAATCGCATAATTTTTTTCCGACCTTGGATTTTTTAACTTCACTAAGAAGAAACTATCACAAAGCAAGGACAAACAAGCGAATCCATGTTGGGATTATGAACCGAGAATCTGACCGCTAAAAGAGTCAAACCTAAAAAAAAAAAAAAGAATTTATTACAGGTCAATGAGTACGGAAGGAATCCAATCCATAGTTCCATACCACCTCTCTGTTAGGTTTGGTTGGGCTGGGCTGGGCTGGGCTGGGCTAGGCCGGGACGGTCCTGGCCTGGACTCTTTACAAGTTCGGGCTCCTGAGCAAATGTTCGTACTTGTCGACGGCGCTCCGGGGGACCGCTACCATCACCTTTACCGCACCACTCTGCTCGTAGACTGGCAACAGCAAGCAGTACCTATCGCAGCAGATGGGTCCCACGTGAACTGGCTCCCCCAACCCAAAGTCAACCCTCTCCAATCCCAGCCTTGACCATTGCGAAACGATTAACACCCCCACCGTATCCGGTGTCGCCCTCGACTCGCTCACCGCCTCCACCACCGTCCTTACGTACTCGTCCCCTACCCTCTCCTTTGCCTTCCTCACCAGCCCGGCCGCACATCCCAAATCGTTCTCCACTAGCTCTTTTGCCGTCGTCTGGGCACAACCAAGCACGAACCCATTCCCGTAGAACCCGTCCGGTAGACCTGGCTTCACTCGATCTCGAATGTTGACGCTGAAGAGTAGTCTCAGTGTCTGGTTCGTTGGCAAATCTAGAGATCTAGCCTAGCTCCTCTACAAGTGAGCTGAGAGTACTTCAAACAACATGTGAGGGGAGGAGGAAAGTTCATTCGTGGACGAGGCAATCTTCTTGAGTTCGGTTAGAGTGCTCTTGTCGAAGCAGACAGAGGTTGGGGATAGTGGTTCTCGGGAGTACCTGGAAACCAGCCCAGCTATGTCCTGGACGCGATCGAACTCTGGGTGTGCAACCGAGCGTCGAGGCTGGCATGGGGCCACAGGATCGAGAAGGTTTCGATTCCAGATGGGTTTGGGTTTGAAATCCGCGAGCCCTGTTCGTCGTCCCGCTGCCAAATCGGCGAACGAGTTGAGAAACTCGGCGCTGCCTACTCCATCGCAGATACAGTGATTAATGCCGATGCCAAGCGCAGCAGCACCGCCGGACAACCATGTGAGCTGAACGACGAGAGGTGGGGCCCCTCGGAGGACGTCTGCCACGTAGAAGGAGAGCAGGTTCCTCCACTGCGTGGGGTACTGTGGGGCCTGGTCGAAGTCGGAGATGGAGATATCCGAAACGGCTTCGATAAAGACCGCACCCTGTGCCCGACATACGACCTCAAGCTTGGAGCCGTCGGGTCGAGCTCTGACTCTGCCCGCAAGAGGGTAGTAAGGAACGAGAGCGCGGGCGAGAGCAGACTTGATACGAGCGGCGATGGCATCACGGTCGGAGCAGGGGCGAGGGCGGTAGACGAGGAGGTATTCGATGGTGAAGCGAAGGAAGAGCTGAGAGTCAAGAGAGGAGAGGGTGAGAACGTGAGACGGGGTTGGATCTGATGGAGCGACTAGCACTGCTTCTTTAACTTGGATGGGGCTGGCCATGGGGTTATCTGTTGAGTGTTCGTTTGGAGGTCTGCGGGACTAAACACCAAACAGGGGACCCAAAAGGCCAAAGGGTGGGTATGTGTAATGTGATGACTGATGACGATTTAGAATTAGATGGTGGGTGCCTGGGTGTTGGTGTTCTTCTTAAGGAGTCGAGCTCAGCTAGCGGACCTATCCCCTCGTTATTTTACCATTTTTTTTTCTTTCCCCTTAAACGTTTTATAAATTTTAAGAAGCGACCGTCTGGATATTCTCTCTCTCTCTCTCTCTGATGTTAAAAGATTTGTGCGAGATTCTCCGAGCATCGCTTTATGGGAAAACAACTTAAAAAGAAAAGAAAAACAAAAGAAAGAAAACAGGTTTTGCTTTCTGTCTGTCTGTTTAAGGAGGAGGACTGGAGGAGTAGGATATCATCTAAATCTAAATCTAAATCTAATCTAATCTCCCCGATTTCTCTTTTTCTTTTGAGTTGATGGGAGATTGATGTCGATGACCGTCTCTCACCCCCCTCACCTCACTGTTATTGTTCCTTTGTTGTCTCGGTATAGAAATCCCTCTCCACTGTTTATTATATTAAAACCGGGATCAACTTGAATTAAATGTTTCTATTAGAATGAAAATAACTTAGTTCTAAAAATATATATAGTAGTCAATCCGTGAACTAACATTGACACACGTTGCATAGCCAGGTCACGAATAGATCTCGGATCATCATCAGATAGCTACAGGTCTGGGATTTGGGAGATACTGGGATGCCAAATTTGTCGCCAGTGTCGTCGTCTTTTTTATGTCGTACTATACCTTGTATGTTGGCCCAGCCCAATAGGAGGTTTTGGGTCTAGAGTTTGAGCCCACACTTGACTTCTTCTAAGTTCCAAGTCTATCAGGAATTGGGCCCTGACTCATTAACAACCAAAAATCAATCGAAAGTTTTGATATTTTCAAAAGAGAGAACGAGCCTTAGGCATGCTGAGGCACACTCTCGACTGTCGGAACTCTGGATCCCACCATTCCAACACCAGAAAATCCAGTCATTTACACTTCCTTTAATTTTTCTTTTTTTATTTTCTTGAGTTGTCTGTCACCATTGGATTCCTGCTGGTTTAAAATGGAATGTAAAAAAGCCAATAGGAATTTCCTTCTTTCTCATGCCTGTACAGTTCTACGAACTAATTGTTGATTATCTATTGTGCTTGAACTTGGTACGAGCCTCGGTCTATATGAGAACTTGAGAAGTGGCCGGTTTAGAACTTAGAAGATATTAAAAACAGAAGAACACACTTGGTGTAATCAATCAACCGACCGAGTGAGACTTTTTTGCAAACTATACGAGTTTGTTCACTTTGTTGTTTGATATATTTTAATTAGTGATGTAGGTGGTTCTCACAAATAAAGGTGTTTACATAGAATCGATGTACATGGCTGTATTGTTGGAGTGTGGGAGACCTTGTCAATGTACTTCAATTATGTGTTTGTGGATATAATATGCAACGTCCAACATAGTGGAGGCATCCCAGATTTAGGTGATTCATGGAGGTTTACTCTAGTACAAAAAGAGGCAACAGGGAGACCAAAGAAGATGCTTCTGTCAGTAATATATGGGCGTACTGCTACCTCGTATATCTCGGGAGATTGCTACTTTAAAGGTTATATATATATAAAGAGAGAGAGAGAGAGAAGAAAAGAGGAGAGAGAAAGGGAAGGGAATCCTGCTGCTATACTATACTAATACTGTTGCCATTTGAGGAAGAAGAAAGTAGGATGAGCTGTATGGGTGAGGGAGGTATAATAGGTCAAGTCCTATACTAAAACTGTGCTAGGGATTTGGTTGACGACGCATCTCCTTTCGAATTTTTAATGTGATGCACCCTTTGAAAGATAAGAAGGTAGGAGATGGACTCTTATCAGTTGCCACTTGGGGTTCTTTTAGATGGATATCCATGCTTATTCCTTCCTGGGTCGCTCTCTTGCTCAGTAGCTAGGCTCACCTTTCTTCTTTTAAATATGGTAAGGTATTGGCGTTTGTTTGTTTGATTTTGATAAATCATTCACGTCTTTTCATGAAAGCAAAGAAAGGATGGATTGGAATGTGGTATAAGACGGATAGATGGATGGATGGATGGGTTGATATCTATCTTATTTCTTCTTATATATATGTGAATGTGGGTGGAGATGGAATATGGACCTTGGCATAAAGAAGGAAAAGAGATGTGAGATGTGGTGGCAGGGGCTTGGGTTTTGTTAGTGGATTATTACGAGGAAAACTGGAAAAGGAGAGGCTTTTCTGAAGTTTTGGTTTTTTTTTTTTTTCTTACATCATTATTCATTCCAATCGTTGATCATTTGTTTTTCCGTCTTTTGCTATTTTATTTTAATGAGTTTTATTTTTGTTCTCATCAAAACACTAATCACTAGCGATTTAAATTAAAAGGGATTAGTCAAGCCAAGCCCAAGAGTGAATAGCGGGGGTGACGTGAAAGGCATTTTGTGATGAGAGACATTTTGTCGAACACACAGAAAGCAGAATAGGTGGATTTTATGAGCTTCGTGCAGTTACTGCTGAAATGGCATATGACTAATGACTCCCACCAGCCACCATCCATATCCATGTTCCGCGTGTTCAATGTTTCACTCGGGTCATGACCTTTTTAGGGTATATATAGGTAATAGGATCCCCACGCCCCCTCTCTCTCTCGCTCGCTCTCGTCTCTCACCTTCTTATTTATTAAAAGGTGGACTGGAGACCGTGGGGCTCATCTCTCTAAAACGATTGTTTTCTTCTCACGAATCATGAAATTGGATCTTCTCCCTTTAAATACCTTCCCGAGTCCCGACCCGATTCCCTTTTCCTTTTACAACATGTCAGAAATTAGAATTGACTAATAGTGCAGGCAGGGTTGAGGGTTGAAGGTTCGTATATTGCCTTGCCTGTCTCTCGGTCTCGGGTCATCACTCATCAGGTGGACTTGGACGTGGGCGAATTCGAATACGGAATACCGCTTATAAACAAGGGAAACAATGAAACAACCGACAGCATCTTGCCTTGTTCAGTGCTCACGTAATCTTCCGGTACTGATAAAATGTAAGGTGGACGTGGAGTTGTCAATTCAATTCCACTACTAAGAGGCAACGCCAATCCCATTTTGATTGGTTTATCATTACATCGCCAATTTAAAAGTTAAACCATCCCCGGTGATCACTAAATATGAGGTGGTAGATGGTTGGGCCGAGCATTTAGGGTGTTGATCCAAGCAGAGTAACAGTACAGGTGTCAGTTAAAGTTGGAATCCCTTACCTTCAGTAGGGGCCGCCTTTTTATAGCCAAAGATCTGTGTCCTGGTCGGATTAGGCTTTTAGGGTTGTTGGAATGAGGTCAATCACCGACATCTTCGGGGTAGAGTCCTGCTCCTCGGCGGAGTTGTCTTCCTCTCTCTTATTATCCATAGTGTTTATCCTCGTGACGTATAACTAACGTGACTGAGAGGATAAGATGAGGGCCACAATAGTAGCGTAGCTCAGCCGAACTATACCAACGTGATCGGACTATGCCTATGTGGCCGAGCTATGCTGACGTAGCCGACATAACCGAACTCACCGGGCAATGACTGAACAGCCATATGTCTCTCAGGACCAACACAGCCATGACCCAAATAATATACATATAATTAAGAATTGATATTTATGTATTTTGTGAATGTTGTATTATTATTGTTTGGCTTCACAATGGACTAGTTGTCAATTTATAATCGGAAAGGTCCTACCATTTCCACGTGGCAAGCAAACCACATTCCTCCTATGTGAACGCTCTGGATTTACCACGGGATAGGGGATAGGGGATAGGGGATACCTCCACCATGGACCATGGCTAATATAGATGTAGGTCATGTAGGGAAACTAGATGATATTACCTTTATTACGTGGCTTCTAGTTGTAGAGTGAAGATGCAGATATTCTTTTTTTATATAACCCTAGACCCTACCTTGTTCCGTTGGCTCCCTCCCTGTACCTGTACTGTATTAGTCCCAATTGAGAGAGAATCTACTCAATCATGGAAGACTCATCATCACTTTCACTCACGGAGGATGGCTCAGGATGACAACATTAAAGTGAAAAAATCTCCAAAAGGGAGGAATCAAACATCCAACTCAGTTGTGAACACAAATCAATACCCAATATTCCTATCAATTAGTTTACGACTGACGACACCCGTAGACGCCTATCCCCCTGTTTAGAGTTTAGTCCAACTCTTCTCTTCTTCTGAGTTCTACTTCTAATAATAAATCTACTAGAAAATTGTCTCAAATCAAAACCCCTAACGCATTACTACACCATAATAAAAGTAGACCGAAGAATATTATGTACAGTTGTAATAGTCAATTAGAATTAGTTAGTTGTTGTCCTAGTCAGCACTTTCTTGTTTTTTTGTTAGTTAGTCGGTTATCCTGCATCTATTTATAGTTGTACAATGAAGCTAATTAAAAAAGAAACACAGACATAATTTCTTTTCTTCTTGATGCTCCTCTGCATCTGTTTTGCTTTGATCTTGTTCTTGAATATTTCATTTTGTTTCTGATCAATTTTATTCTGTTTCTGATCATGGTATCAGAGCTCCGGTTCTGAATCTTGTGCGCTACGCTGAAGTAATTTGTATTTGAAGTTTTCTCTTGGTTCGAGAGTATCATCTCTGCAAAGATGACTGACGGAAGCGCGAGTACAAGAGATGGAAACCAGGCTTCGAACAATCGTTCAGTGAAGACGTCAATGCAGTTGCACCCGTCCGATCATCCTGGTATAAGTCTCGTAACTAATTCACTTAACATGAACAATTACATGATTTGGAGTAGGTCTATGAGAATTGCTTTAAGGGCCAAGAAAAAATTAGGCTTTATAGACGGTACTTGCGAGGAACCTGATCCTACATCAACTGAATATGAAGAATGGAATCATGTAGATTCTATGGTGATTTCATGGATATTGAACTTGATGTCAAAGGAGATGACAGAGGCATTTGTGTACACTCCTACTGCTAGGGCATTATGGTTGAAATTAGAAGAGAAATTTGGCCAAAGTAATGGACCGCAATTGTATCAACTCAAGAGACAAATAGCTTCAATAGAGCAAGGTAACAATACTGTTGCTATGTATTCGAACAATTTAAAAAAAAAAAAAAAAAAACTAAGGGATGAACTCAATTGTTTGGAACCAGTTCCGAAATGCAGTTGCCAT